TATCATTTCCCGGGAAAATTAGCAAACAACACTTCGCAATGCTATAAAGAAAAAACGAGCGGAAATTTAATCGGGGTCAGAGATGAGGATCGTCGYAGAAATGGTCGGAAAATCCGGGGGCGGGTCGGAAAATTGAATTTTTCATAGTTTAATAAAGTTAGAAACTTGAAAACAATCGTGACGAAAAATTTTTTTCGTTTTTCCTGGGAAAATATCGATCAAAACAGGACAAAATTCAGCTCATTTGTAAAACATTCCCTTTTGTGTCATCCTTCCGCAATTGCTCAATCTGTTTTCCTTTCTTTTCGTGACGCCCCGTTGAACGAAAATCAGTCGTCGACGTAAAAAAATGTGACGTTTCTGTTGTTTTTCGGTTTTCTCGCGATGCGCAATAAAAAGAAACCATTTAGTTCATGTCACTTGCGGCGACACATCGAAACCGCGACAGAGCATATGAGAGCGCAAAAATAAAATAAAAAAATAAACACCACATTTTGGCACGAAGTGACATCTTTCACAACCGAAAAAAAATTAATTGAATCAAAAGAAAAACCGGTTCTTAAATATTTACAATTAAAGTTAGTTTTAATTTCAATTCGTTTGAGGCAGTAAAAATTAATTTAAATATGTCTTCAAATCAAATTTCTTGTGTACCTTTTTCAGGTAAATAATAAAGCATTGCCTACGACGGCAACTAGAAACATTTAAATATTCTCAGACATTTGAAAACTTAATTAAAAAATTAAAAAGCACTCGTTGTTACATTAAAATACTCTTTATGCACAAATATGACCAAATTACACTAAATCAAAAAAGCAAAATTTCGACACTTTTTGAAAAAAACCTACAGTCAATTTAAAAAAAAGTGGTTGTCAGTGTTACATTTTAGCAAAAAATTCATTATTTGTGTAAAAAACGCACAAAAATAAGTTACTTGGCATCATAAAGTTTGGTAATTTTTCAACAAAAATCATTTTTGTTGTCATAATGTAAATTATTTATTATTTATTTATTAAATTTTGTAATGACATTAAAGACCACTTTTTTTTTAATTTGACTGTAGTGTGTAAAGCCCCAGATCCTTCAGATCATGTTAAAATTCAGTTGATTTAAAAATAAGTATAATATTAGGCATAAAATCGAGCGCAAAAATCTATTAAAAAATACAAAAAATTAATTTAAGTTTGTGTAAATATTCTCGGACATTGTCCGTCCGTAGTAATATGTAATGTCAAAATTCTTTCAGATATTTAATTTAAAATTGGCGGATTGTGTTGAGCAAAAACTGTAAAGCACTTGTTACATTATAGTATATTAAAAAAAAAAGTTTCATAAGACCAGTTTTGAAGCACGAATTCCAGTTTAAAAAATGAGTGGCGTTATTAAGGAATGAGTGTCTCCAAAGTTTTTTTTTACTATTTTTGTAATTTGCCATCTTTATGACATTTTTAAACAATTTTTTTTATTTTAATCGATGTAGGAATTGTTGCGATGTTAATGGTAATGTCTTGATTTTAAAAGCCAAAATCTGATCTAGTCGCCTTTTGACTATTCAGACATCCCAAATGATAACGTCTAATATGTCTATTAGAAAATAAAAATGGAGGCAAATTACAAAAAAATAATGCTTATACAAAAATTTAGTCAAATTATACATCATTTTCAGAAAAAAATCAAATTGCAAAAAATACTAGAATTTAGAGTTTTTCAAATGAAAATCGGTGTGAAAAGCCTAAATCTAGTTAAGACTTCGATTTACTTAAAAAAACTAAAATTTTGAATGCTAAAAACAACTCAAAACTTTCAACTGTAGTGTGTAAAGCCCGAGATACTTAAAAACCTGTTAAAATTTAATTGATTTATTAAAAAAATATAATATTAGGCATAAAAGCTATCCAATCGAGTGCAAAAATTTCGAGAGTACTAAAAACTTATCACTTTTTTAGAAAAAAAAAACTTTGGAAATTATATTAAAAAATACAAAAAATTAATTTAAGTTTGTGTAAATATACTCAGACATTGCCCGACCGTAGCAACTTGTAATGTCAAAACTCTTTCAGATATTTAATTTAAAAATTGCAGATTGTGTTGATTAAAAAATAGCACTTGTTACATTATAGTATATTAAAAAACAAGTCATAAAACCAGTCTTAAAGCACGAATTGAAGTTTAAAAAACGAGTGGCGTTATTAAAGAATGAGTGTTTCCAAGACTTATGAAACGAGTTATTTGTACTATTTTTTCTAATTTGTCCTCTTAAAGCTGTTTTTAAACATTTTTTTTTACTTCAGTCGATTTAGGAATTGTTGCGACGTTTGATAATATCTTCATTTTAAAAATCAAAATTTAATCTAGTCGCGTTTTATACGTCCACATGATAACCTCGCGTTCTTTAATATGTCTATTAGAGAATGAAAATGGTGGCAAATTAGACAAAATAATTTTTATGCAAATATTTAGTCAAATTATACATAATTTTCAGAAAAAATTCAAATTGCAAAAAAATCCTAGAATTTAGAGTTTTTCAAGTGTAAATCGGTGTCAAAAGCCCTAGATTTCCTAAATCTTGTTAAAAATTCAATAAATTTATTCAAAAAATAATTTTGAATGCTTAAAAGTGAGAAACAGAACTCAATATTTTAAAAAATACGAAAAAATAAAACATTGTTTGTCTTAAAATTTCTCTTTTTTCTTGAGTAAACCTCGTCAGACACTCATATACTACCTCTCCACTGGCGACGGCCTCTCCCGGAATGAACAACTCCGGGTAGATGTTGTCCAAATACCACTTGAAGCTTTTACAACCGAGCTTTTCACGGAGCGCTTTCCTCGAACTAATGTCCCCAAAATCGCCCTTCTCGTTCCCTATCCTCTGGTAGTAATACTTGGCATATTCATCGAGCCAAACTTCGGCCAATCGGACCGAATTTCGGCGCAAAACATTCACACCACTGCGCCATTTGTACGGGGAACGTTTTCGGAAAATGTGCCCCACGTGGGAGCAAGGGACGATTTCCAGCGTGCCTCCACACATCCACGTTTTGAAAGAGAGTTCCAAATTCTCGCCGCCCCAAATATCAAAACCGTTGTCGTAGGTTCCGAGCCGTTCGAAGAATTTCTGCAAAAAAAAATAATTCTGTTAAATGTGGCGCGTTCAAAACCACGTCCAGCTTTATTAACTATGGAAATTGCATCGGAATTCCTGTCAAACATTTCTCGCAACAAAGCTTTGTCTCGGACTAAGTTAATTTTCCCGCATTCCCGGAGCGGAAACCAATAGAATCTTCCCCACCACATCTTATTCTTATTTTCCACAATAAACGCCCGTTTTGCGGATGAATAATTGATCAACACGTTCAGATTTTTATTCGAAACATTGTCTTAATGGACTGCATATTTAGGATTTGGATTTAGGGTGTTTATCGCGCTTACATTGGAACACCTGTGACGTTTGGAAGACGCCACAGGGACGGACGCGAAGGCCCGGAGGCTTGCAATTTATACCACGTTTCCGGCACGACGAACAAGAAAAATAAACAACTTTGAAGTTGGTTAATTATGTTAGAGAATTGCGTGTCAACAGTTTGAGCCAATTGTAGCTCTAAATACCAATTTATTGTAAGATAAAAGAGGACAAAATGTCGGTATTATTATAGTTTTTGAGAGAAAAAAAACAAAGTGTAGTTAACAATTATGCTTCACCCGGTATATGTCGAAATACAGGGTGTTTCAAAAGTGTCAGATCATCTTAATTTCCTGCTTGAAATTGAGCCAAATCGATTGGAAATAGCACAAATTGTTTTGTTTTAGCCTAAAATTGGATTCTAAGCAATTATTTTTATAAAATACATTAACTTAGAATGATTTCTGCAGTATAATCGAGCAATATTGTGTTAGAAATAGCTCAATTTGCTTCATTTTAGCCTAAAAAGAAATTTTAAGCGTGTATTTTTATAAAATACTTTGATTTAGAATAATTTCTGTGTTAAAATCTAGCAAAATTGGATTGGAAATAACTCAAATTGCTTTATTTTGGCAAAAAACAGTTATTTAAGCATTTATTTTGTTGAAATACTTTGATTCAGGTTCATTTTCGGCTTAAAATTGAGCCAAAAGAATTAGAAATGGTGATAAAAGACATCTAAGTGAGTTAAAAGTTCCCACAACAAAAAATAGTTTCAGCCTTTTTTTCAAGAAATTTCTGTATCTCGAAAGCAAGAATTTATCACAAGAAATGATGAAAAAAATTAGGCTCTCATACGGTATCTCAAAATCGACAAAATACTTTTAGATTATTCCAAACAAAAGAAGAAGAAGAGGGTACTTTGATAAGGATATCAGTGTTAAGAAAAAAAATTACAATCTTATGGCTTATTTATCAGTATTTCTAAATTTATAAATATTCGAGTAAGTATTTTAGATTGAAAAATTCTAAACTACTTATCTGAAACTGTGAACTAATAAATCAATTTTTATTCTTATAATTTAGAACTATTACCATCGCATAACGCAAGTATTTCGAGATGAAATTAATGTAAAATCAAATAAAAAACACTTAAAACTCCCTCATTAAAAAATATCAGAATAAACCCACCTCTAATCCTTCTGTCTTTGTCTCGGTCTTTGTCAAAACTGTCAAAACAACGAATGGATTTATTTCATGGTAAAATACTACGAGAACTAGTAATAGAGCAAATTTGTACTTCATAATATTTGCATTTCATTAAAAAATATTTAATATTATGAAAATTTCTTTAATAGATGAAGCAATAAAAAATGACATGAACTCATTTACTATAAGAATAAAATAATACTTCTAAGTTAATAATTTAGAAAAATAATTAATTACAGCCCATTAAGTAATATTTATGTTTATGCAAAAAAAAGCAAGGTACAGAAAATTAGTATAGCCTTGCAGTGATTATTTTTCTCGATGCTACAGATCTTGGATAAATAAACAGTTCGGCTATAAAATTCTTTTCTCTAACTTATGACAAAATATACTAATTTTAGTCTTGAAATCTTGTTGTAAAAAATAAAAAAAATCCTAATTTTTATGGTAATTTTTGAAAGGCTTTAACTCATCGAAAAATGATTGTATCTAATTTAATAAAAAACATTTTAAAGCCTTTAGTTTTAATATCTTTTGGCAAATTTTGACAAAAAAAGCTAATTTTTTTTAAATATTTGATTCTGGTCCACGGATGTGGGAATTTATATTAAGTAAAATCAATGCATAGGCCAGATAGTATGTTTGTTCACCTCTAATATGCTTTTTTCATATTCTCTTTACGTTAATATGTCGCTTAGATATCTCACTTTTAATAAAAAAGAATCTTTTTGTCTTTGATCATCGATATCTCAGCAACCAATGACCACACGGAGTCAGTGTCAAAAACTGGAATAAATGTCTTACAAGATTCTCTTATGATTTTTTAAACAATATTTTTTTCACCCATTGATTTAAAGAAAAGAGAAAAAAGTAACTTTTTGCGTTGTTTTAGTAAATCTACCGCTTATTCACTAATATTGTTAATGAGACTAATGTTTTTAGGTGTATTTACAGCTTAATGTATCCCTCATAGCGTTGAAAATTTTCAAATCGATCCAACGAACAGTTTTCTTGGACCGATTGATCAAAGTTTTGCAAAAGAATTGCACATATTGTAAAATTTGAAAATTGTTTAAACTTAAACATTCAAGAAACAATACTGCTTAATTTTTTTTTAATTTTTTTTTCAAATTTAACTAATAACTCATGCAAAATTTGGGCTATGCATTGACTTAACCAAAAAAAATTGCCCACGTCCGTGAGAAAAACAAAAAATTTGGATTTTTTTTTCTCGCGCTATTACCTAGAATTGCGTGAAAACCGTAGCACAGAGACAATTTTTACTAAAAGGTATCAAAACTAGAAACTTAAGGCTTCATAATGTTTTTTTTTTTATCTAGATAAGACCATTTTTCCATGAGTTTTTTGGAGTAGTGTAGGTTAAACAATTTTAACTAATTAATAAAACAATACTTTAGTTTTGTAAAAATAGTCTAAAAATGATCGTTGCAAAAGTCACACAAATTTTTTTTTTGTAAAAGTCACACTCAAGAAAAAAATGTGGCTAAAACTTGACTCACCTGGTACAACGAACATATCTCGAAAATCGTTTCAGCTATCTCCACGCGGTTTTCGCGAAAAAAAGCAAAAATCCCAGTTTACTCGTCGAATCCACTTTTTTGGGGCGATTTATCGCCCGAATCAATCCGATTAAACGTCTGGCGCGCGAAAAAAATCCTCCATATTTTACCCCCGGTGGAAAAAACGCGTAAACACGAATGTTATGCATATGTTCGTCGTGGACCCTCCGAACTTTTGTAATAAATCGAATTTTCGACGTCGCTTTTATACACACACACACACGCACACATCGATACACACGCGGTTCCGGTTATAATAAATTTTTTCCGGTTGACGTGAGCGCGCCAAGAATAAACACCTCACCGGTATACAATTTATTTCCGAAATTATTATCGACACGTTGAAACGACACTCTGCCGCCTCCGGGGGCAGCAGAGATTGATAAGCGATCGCGAATGATAAGAGACAAGGAGATGGCGGACTATTATTTTTCGGGAGAAAAATTCCATTTAAAATGAACACTTACAACACTTGTGCAGTAAAGGAGCAAACAATCAGTTTGTCAAGTAAATTTTTTTGTGGATGTAGGTATTTAATTTTATATTTATTACTTGCTTATTGCTTTCATTAATGCGAAACTGGAATTTTTGCTTCGTTCTGTATTTACTCTGAAATAAAAAATTGATGAACAAGTTTGTTTTGTTATTTTCTCTTGCTTTATTCCAACCGCAGTAATTACGAGAAAAATTTGTTGTGGTGAGGAAATCATGTTTTATTGTAGAAAATGTGGTAACGAAAACCGCATATACGTTAAAGTTGGAAAAAACTATTTTTTTCTAATTTAATATTTTGAGAGGTGTTGGTAATTAATAGTCAACTTTTTATTATTTTTTTAAATTATTAACCGAAATCGTAAACCGAAAGTGGTGCAACACTATTTCTGTTACCCCCATTTCGGAAACTATTACAATACAGGGTGTTCCGGCTAAACCCCACATTAGAAGTTATTGAGAGTTCTAACACTGATATTTATCTAAATTTTTGTTTGTAACCATAATCGGTTAGGTTCTACTCAATTAAAATATTTTCAAGATGGCGGCACTTCCTGTTACACTGGAAGTGGATATCAATTTCGTTATTTTAAATAAAAAGTTATCTTTTTTATTTTTGGAATACTCAAGTAATTTTAAGAAAGTTTTTATTAACCCTATACGTAAGTTTAACCGTTTTCGAAATATTTAGACCTTTTTAAATTTTTTTGGATTTGAATCTTCCTATTCAAAAATCGATGTCTACATTTTTTTATTATTTTAAAACCATGTTTGGTATACGAGAGCGAAAGGTTAGATATTTCCTTTGGTGTATTCATAATTGGAAAAATAATTAACAAACCGTCAAAATGTATATCCTTAACTCAATTTTTTTAAACCAAACACCCCAATTTTTTCTTAACTAAATGAAAGAGAATTTAATTCTGCTTAGATCTGTATTAATATTTCCTATACCTATGTTTGATAGTTTTCAAGTTATAGTAACTATAATCAATTGATATTGAGAGAAATTCATTATTTATAGCTATTTTACAATAGAATAGTATATTACATAACGAGCACGGAAAGTGATAAATAACGCACAAGCGGGAAAGTTGCGCACGAGGCGTAAGCCGAGTGCAGGCAATACCGCGAGTGCGTTAGACACTTTCCTGCAAGTTTTGTACACTATTTTTCCTACGACCATAAATAATTTTTTTCTTACAAACATTTTTTTTCTCATAACGATTTATTTTTTATAATGGATACAGAAAAAATACGTTGAATGAAAAAATACAAAACATTCGAGTGTGAATTGTGCGTTAGATTTCTAACACACAGTGCAAAAACAAATCGCATAGGTTTTTGAATATCAAAGATATTCAAATTTAGATAAAATAAAGTTAATTTGTATTTTCGAAAGAATAACACAATTGTGAAAAAAAAACGGGTCGTTTTTTCAGTAAGAAATATTTCCATGGCGAACTATGCGAAAACTACCATGGATAGTAATGAATTTCTTCATAGAAAAAAATAGAACATCAAAGATATTCAAATTTAGATTAAATAAATATAATTTGTATTTTCAAAAAGAATATCACAATTGCGAAAAAAAACGGGGCGTTTTTTCAGTGATAGTAATGAATTTCTTCCATTGTAAAAAAAAAGTAAAATAACTTGGAAATCATTAAATTTAGGTATAGGGAATGTTGATACAGATCGATGCAGAATTAAATTCTCTTTCAATTAGTGAAGAAAAAATTGGGGTCTTCAATTTGAAAAAATTCAGTTACGGGTATTTCCCAAACGTAACCTTAAATTTTCGGGATTTCTTAATTATTTTTCCAATTTTAAATACGCGAAAGAAAAGATCTTACTTTTCTTCTCCATATGTCCAAATACGATATTAAAATAATTAAAAATTGTAGAGTTATAGATTTTTAAAGAGAAAAATGCAAATTAGGAGAATTTCAAAAAAGTCTAAATATTTCAAAAACGGTTAAATTTAGGTATAGGGAAGTCTGATAAAAACTCTCTCAAAATCCCTTGAGTAATTCAAAAATGCAATAAAACATAACATTCTATTTAAAATAAGAAAGTTGATACCCATTTCCGGTGTTACCGGAAGTGCGGTCAACTTGAAAATATTTTCATTAAGCAGGATCACGATTATGGCTATAGTCAAAATTTTAGATTGTTAGAACTCCCAATAGTTCTAATGTGGGGTTTAGCCGGAAATAGCCTGTATACCTAATGTTCTTTAAAATTTTGTAAAGATTAATTGAGCAGTTAATAATTATCATTATTATAGGTTTTTTTTTTTGGTTGGTAGCTCGTTATTTCATATCTTTTAATAAATAATATATAATTTTAGAATTTTAGTTAAATTAGAAAGAGGTGTTCTAGGGGTGTGCATAAAACTTGGTCCATCTGGTGCATGCCATTTACTAAATTCAGTCAATCGGGGAAGCACCGGTAGTGTAAATTTACACTAATTTATAATTTCCGCTTTTTGTTCAGCCATGTTTGTTGTATGTTCACGTACATATTAGAAATTCAGATCGCATCAAGTAGTTGACTTAATGCATCCTTAATATCCTACGCATCTAATATATTATGTATGAAATTCTCAACAACCGTACAGTCAAACACGATGAAAATGCTCACTTTTTCGTCTCATTGATAACAAAAACTGAAATCTGGTTGTACAAACCGCTATTGAATTTTAAATCTCTTGTGCGAGTTGCTAAACAAACATTGTCAAATCGATATTCAATTAGTCGTGTTGGAACTACTAACATGGCCGATGCTTGCCGACTTATTAAAATAACATGGCGACGGACCTCAGTAAACCTGCGTCAAATGATAAACCAACGTCAAATCACGCAATATACGCAGTGTTCCAAAAAAGTACAGTTTTTTCCAACTTTTTAACTATTCACTCGAAACTTCTCCCCACATCATTACGTTTAATAAACAATAACCAACTCATAATTTCCATTTAACCTAAAAAAAGCGATGAACATCTGTTTATACCGAGTGCAATCAAAACACGCTTTAGTAAAAGGGTGATTTCGTGCGTTATTTCAATAAAAAGTGCACATTTTTTAAACGTTTGTTGTTCATGTTGGGGTCACTCAAACATAAAAATCACGATACTGCGTGACCGATTGCGGCATAACTCACCGAGGGGAAGCAAAATAAGTAATTTTTTATCATTTTTAATAAAGTCATTTAACCAAGCGCTGACGGTAAACGCACGAAACTGATCGGGGGATTAAGCAATAACTTTAAAACGGTTCTATACACAGTGATCAAAAAATGAAGTTTTGAGGAGTTAAAAAACATCTCCTATCTTATTTTTTGAGCTATGATGAATTTTACTAACTGGCAACATTGGAAACTTGTTGAGAGAGATCATTTTAAGGTGGCAACCATGCGAAAATTCAAACAATTTTAAAACCTCAATCTTCCCTAAAAACTATTTTATCAAATAGATGTTTACTCCAGGTAGCAAAAAATTAACAAAGTAATTAACATAACTTAAAAATTTTTCTAAATATTGATGTGATTAAATTTGTTCTGAATGACACTTTTTGTGTGAATATGCCTTTAAATCAAAGATGCATTTAGACTTCTACAATAGGGTGGGCCAAAAAATCTCATTTTTTTTATTTCGAAGTTGCAATAGCGCGAAAAAGTTGCGAATTATGTATACAAAAAAAAAGAAAAAAAATATCAAATTCGGTTGACATCTTCCGGTCGCACATAGGCCCTAAAGTTTGACAAAGTATGAAAAAAACTTATTATTTTTTTTTAAATTTAAATTTAGATTAGTTGATATTTTCTGATCGCGCATAAGTCCCAAAATTTGTCAAAATATTGAAAATTTCACATTTCTACGAGTTCTTTTTTATATCTTTAATATACTCTTTTTGACTTACGTTAACTATTACTAGTTACAGTATTTTTATTTTTGAACATAAGAACATTGTGTTTTAGAAAACATCTAATTAAAAAAAAATAAAAAAATTATGTTTTTTTTTCATATTTTGTCAAACATTAGGGTCTATGCGCGACTGGAAGATGTTAACCGGTTTTGATATTTTTTTTCTTTTTTTTGTCTATAAAATTCGCAACTTTTCCGCGCTATTACAACTTCGAAATAAAATAAAAATGAGTTTTTTCGGCCTACACTATTCTACAACCTACTTAATGCACATTAAAATAAAAAAGAAAAACATAATGAAAGTAGCGAACAATTAAGGTTATTTACATTAATTAATTATTAACAAGACAAAATAACATTATTTATTTATTTATTATTTATAGAATGTTGTGAGATATAATTTTAGGTAAATTACAGATAACTTTTCTAAATGAAAAATTGCGTGTCCAAGTTTTACACAAATAAATTTTCACTGTTTTTAACAATGAAGTAATTCTCTATGTTTGAGAAAAGGTAACAAATAAACATAGTCCAGAATTATAAAATTTATTCGTCAACTTTAGAAAGAATAGTTTCTTAACTTCGCTTTACAGGATTTTTTAATCATTTTTTGTAATTTTTCTAGAAAATTTACCATAAGAAGCCAACGAGCTTATCCGTCATTTTTTAATCACCGTGTATAACAAGAAAACCCAAAAAATAAACTAGACTTTTTTTCAACTAATTTTTTTTTATTCACAACCATAAAGTAATAATCAAATTACCTTGCATGTGAAAAGTTCATTTAATAATTTGTATGAAATATCAGATTCAGGTTAGGAAGTGGACACTTCCTTATCAGTTGATATGTAATACGACAGTACAGGTTGGGAAATGACCACTTTCCAAGAACTAGTATCGTGAACTGTCGCTTGTCATGTTTTTCAAAGTTTGATAATTCTTTATTGACTTTCTGTCGTTAAAAAGAATGATTGTGAATAAAATAGTATAGTCGTTACTTCATCGTACCTCGGCTTTGAGGACGGCCCACCTCAGTATGTAATCTACTATTTTCAATCATTATTATAGTATAGTACAGTATGTCAACGGATTGAGTTTACAAGAGAAAAACAAAATTATCTTTGATTTTACGCCAAAACTGCAAAGGAAAAACATTTTTTGCTTTATCTGAAACGAGCAAATCTGTAATTAAAACTTCATTTCATAACTCAGTAGAAAGAAAAATTTATTATTCTGTTGATTTTGAAATTAGATTAATTTTTCTCTGCTTTATAATTCTTGTCACATTGGCGGTTTTATTTTTTTTTGACATAATAATACATAATAATAACAAAAATATAGGTAAAAAATATAATTTTAATAAATGGCAATTCAAAGAAACAGCTTTAAAATAAAAATCAAAGTCATTTTTTTACAAGAACTGTCATTATTTAATTAAATAAGTTAATTGTCAAAGTGACATATAGTTGTCAAATAAATAAAACCGCCAATGTGATAGGACTTAAAAAGCAGAGAAAAAAATATTCTAAGTCGAAAATCAAGAGAAAAATTAACTTTTCTTTTTACTGAATCAGAATAATAAAGTTTTAAGTATGGATTTGCTCGTTTCAGGTGAAGCAAAAAATGTTTTTCCTTTGCAGTTTTGGAGTAAAATCAAAAATAATTTTTTTTCTCTTGTAAACTCAATCCGGGGACATACTGTAAAAACACCAATTATAGTTCTTCCATTTTGTTGAAAGTAGTTTAAATAATCGCTGCAAAAACGTTAAAAAAATTCCAAGTTATAGTTAGTTTCATCTTTTTTTTAATTGAACATTTTCCAATAACTTTAAAACCGTTTGGCAGATTTCTATCAAACTTTACAAAACCACATATTCCGTTATTCTCTTTTAAACTCCGGTTAACATTTTCGTCAATTTCAAGACAAACGAAATATTTTTTTTAATTAAACACATCTTGCCACTTACCTTATCTATGCTAAAAAGCCCCCCGGCCATCGTGGGACTATACACCGGTTCAGCTGGATTCTTATGTCTCTTCTTCTCGTGTTCGGGCACTGCGTGCCAATTGAACTGTAGATTCCAATCAAACCCTCCCACATTGACTCCTCCACTATCATGAAAATGATACTCCAACGTCGTATCATCAATTACGTCTATAACCGGACACACCACCGTCGTCGGATCTTTCGCAATCCTATCTAGAAGAGGTTCCAACCATCCCGTTGTGCACTCACAATGCGAATCCAAATACGTCAAAACTTCACCTTCGGCGTTCGCCGCCCCCAAAAGTCTCGCTCTGATTAAACCTTCGCGTTTTTTCGCACGAATTATTTTCACTTTGGGTTCGGATGCGAAATAGTCGACTAGTTGCTGTTTGAGATGCTCCATGTCGGAGAAGTCGTCCACGAGGATAACCTCCTTGATGAGGTGCGAAGGAGAACGATCCAAAACCGAATGGACTGTTCGGAGGAGCACCGACCAGGCCTCGTTGTGGAAACAAATAATGACCGAGGTCTGGGGGAGGTCTTCCTGGAAACGACCCGGAGCCTTGCACCTGCAATAAACCGGAGTTTGTTGACAAACACAAGGAAAATTTGAATTTTTATTTGTATTAAACTTTCATCATCTATCATCGGAGCTGGAACGGTTTTAATTAGTGAAGGGTGAAAGGCCTATTTGAGTGTATAAGCACACATGCTGAGCTCTCTTAGAAGGCATTAATTTCGACTTTGCGAAATCTCTGATATTCTAATTCCGACAGTTCAGGACGAGCCACAAGCCCGGAGGCGATTACGCGGGAATTAGACGAGAAGTTACGTCTTAAACCGGAAACAACGAGCCGGAATCGCGCTGCGATTATTATTTATTTAAAGTTTTCGCACAAATCTCACTTTTATGAAAAACTATTCAAACTTTAATTTCATTCTCTCTGCAACTTTACAATTACAAACTCACAAATTGGATAAATTTATAAAAATTGGCCCGGAGCTACAGCGCCTGAAATACAGGGCTGATTCAAAAGTGTCCAACCATTTCCTGGGTGCTGATAAGGACATCCAACTATTAAAAGTTCCCCTTTTCAAAAGTTAGATTTTTTGGTTAAGTTTTTTCTTAAGTTCAAATTGAGTTTAGTTAGTGGAAACAGCAGATTTTTCAACATCGAAAAAAAATCATTTAACAAACTAGCAAATATACAGAGTGTCCAGAAAGTCGCGCACTTCCGTAACTCTGTATCATCGGGCTGTGTTCTAGACAACAAGAAAAATGTTTAAAATAATCTATTTATAAAAATTTCGAAGTTATGAAATTTTGTACTTTGACTCTATTTATTTCTGTTGAAAAAATAATTTTTACTACAGGCCATTAGAATAGGAAACAAAGGAACTGTATTCTAAATTGTAACTTTGTTTAGTGCTATTTGTGGTTTGTATTGGCAAAATTTTTGTACCTTTACTAAATAATTAAAAGAAAACATATACAAGATCATTAGTATCATTAAATACACATTAAAAAAATTTCAATGTCAAAAAATAAATGTCAAAATTTTTTGACAGATACAATTTTTTAAACATTATTGTAGTACCTGGGGGACTACCCAATTACTCCCTTTCAAGAAGGTTTGCGACTTTCCGGACACCAAGCATATACAGGGTGGCCCAATAAAAACGAGCAACCCCAAATATGACAGAAACTAAAAAGATTTTGCAAAAACGCCAAAACCGGTCGACTTTGTTTCCGAGGGGGACATTTTTTGACGTTATTTTGAATGCACCCCCATTAACCCGTTAACCCTCACGTACCCAAAATTTAAAAATTTAAATGGCACTACCCTACTTGTGGCACATAAAATCAAAGCTATTTTAGCAAAGATTTCAAAACTTTTTACTAAAATTGAATCAGACCATCCATTCATGAGATACATGGTGTTTTAACAAAAACAAACTGCCTTAGAAAAAAATTGTAAAAAAAAACCGAAACAGGTTAATTTTGTTTTAAAAGGGGACACTTTTTGTCGCAATTATAAAAGCACCTTCACTAACCCTTTAACCACTATGACGCTTAACTCTAAAATGTCAAATGGCACCAACAACTAATGATACAAAAAATGAAAACATTTTTAAAATGCTCCAAAATGAAATTATTTTTGTATATTCATAAAATATCGGCAAAAAAACTAATTTTTCAGCAGTGAGTATGTATAAAAAAACTTAAGAACTATATTACTATTTGTTAGATACTTACATTAAATTAGAAAAAAAAATATTACCCCCTGTCCTTTAGTACGATTATTTTGACAATAAAATAAAGAAATAAAAAATAAAAGTTTGATACAGCTCCAATAATTCTTATAACAATATTAGTAAGTTAAATTTATTTTTAGTAGTTTTTATTAGAAGTAATTACTAATTAAAAACATTATCTTTTGCGAATATCTTATGAATAGATAATCCCATTCAACTTTAGAAAAGAGGTTCAAAGAACATTTTAAAAACATTTTTATTTGATCTGTCGCAAGTGAGTCAGTGTTATTTGAAAATCCAAAATTGAGGTAGAAAAAGTTAAAAGGATAGCGAAGGAGCTTTTAAAATTGTGTCAAAAAATGTCTTCTTTTAAAACAAATTAACCTGTTTCGTTTTTATTGCAAATTCCTTCTGGTTCGTTTTTATCTGTATCTCATGAATGAATGGTCTGATTCAATTGTGGTAAAATGTTTTAAAAAGCTTGTTTAAATAGCTTTCATTTGATGTGCCACAAGTGGAGTGGTGCCATTTAAATTTTTAATGTTGGGGTGTGTGAGGGTGCTTTAAAAATTACGACAAAGAATGTCCCCCTCGGAAACGAAATTAACCTGTGTTTTTGCAAAAAATTTTTAGTTTCTGAGATATTCGTGGTGGCTCGTTTTGATTGAGCCACCCTGTATATTTAAAATATATATTTTGATATGGAAATTTTCTCGAAAAAAAGGCTTGAAAAAAAATCTGAATTCATTTCTATGCATAGCTGAACCATTCGAGAGTTGGTCCGACACTTTTGAATCACCCTGTATAAACCCATTCAATACCGTTTTAAATAATTTCTTCACTTCACAACATTATTACATCCCCGGAGCAAGTCTGCTATACAATAGAAACCGTTTTTTTTCCGGTGTTGGCGCGTCGGCCGGTTTCCGGTTTCGGCTCCGAGCGAACACGTCGCATCATTAATCATTCCGGAATGCCGATAATCCGGGAATACGCGTCCAAGATGTCCATAATTACGCCACGTATATTAATGTTTGGTGCTTCTGGAGGCGGAAAAACGCCATTTCCGACTGACGTTCAAATTCGATGACGGAAAAATATGAAGGATGTCCGAAGTTGACGTAAATTTTCAAGGAGATGAGGGTGGATTTTCATGTCGATATTCGAAACATTAAACACGGAAATGGGGTGTTTCTCCCGTTTCCATTCCAGAACAATATTGCAATGTCAACGTTTTAATAACAAGAAAACACACACGAAGCTTCTACGGGGTGTTTTAAATAAAAAAATCAAACTCCGCCCACTATAGCTCCACCTACTAGCACTAAATAAGAAAGTTTTCTCATATTTCGCGAGCTAATTCCAACTTTTTTTCTTTTATCTTAAATTTTGACATCCCATTTTCGCTTTTGTTCGATTCGGTCGTCCCTCGACACGTGTCTATATGCAAAAAACTCCACCCCTTCGACTTCATGAATTTTAAATTTAACGATTCGTCGACCGACAGATGGCGCGTTGTTACCAAAGATCGCTTCGCAATAAAATCACGTTTCGTGCAATTAAATTCGAATAATTCGGCGATTAATTGTCGAGGGGATTAGATTTTCAATGATGATTGAAAAAAAACCAGGAGCATGACACGAAACGAATTCTCTCGAAAGTTAAACGAATTTTTTAAATATTTCAGTTTCAGGACATTAATTAAATGACCAAATTTACAAGAACCATGTAATCAAACACTGTCTTTCAATTGGTGGTTGTAGAAATTGCGTCGAGTGGCCACATTTCCGGTAGCACCACTTCCGGTTTTGTTTTATTTTTCGCGCCTCCGGACTTAATAACAATCTCATCCGCGTCGCATCCAAATTAGATTTTTTATTCCTCTTTGAAAATTTTGCGGTAACTCTCGCAACAATTATAACACCGGTCTTTGTTCCGTCGACGGCCATTATTAGCACGTTGGTGCCCTTTCAAAAGACTTGTAGTTTCGAAATTAATTACGTGAGACGAGCGTCAACCTTGACCTCAAAAAGTAAACGAAAATTAAGGGTGATTAATTAAGGGTCGAGTTGCGTAATGCTCGAATTACTTTAATTACTTCTTGCATTGGAAATGACGGAGGTTACGACGAAGGAGAATTGCTCTCGAGTGAGTTAAGAGCAGGAGGACCAATGACGGGGGAGTCTTAAAATGGGAGGATTGGGGTACTGTGCTAATCAAAGTGGAATTGCGACGTTTCGAAGGGGCGGGAGGGTCCGGTGGTACATGAGACAGGAGCGAAGAAATGCAAATTGACCGAAAATAAGCTTTTCATCAAGTAAATCATTTAAAAAGTGTCAAGTTAATAGAAAGAAAGTCAACACTTGCACCAATTGCTTAAAAAATCTCAATGTATAAAATAATGAACTAAAAAAATGTTTTTTAACAGATGCAAAAAGAACACAAAAACAGAGATAAATTCGGTACCATTAACAGTTCTTGGAAATTTATCTCAAAAAATGTGAAAGCAGAAATTAAAAAAAATAACACAAATTTGGGTGCTAATTTAACGACAAAGATCAATCATTGATAGTCAAAAAAAATGAATAGTTATTTAATAAACTAGTTTGTTAATGAAGATTAATACTTCAATACCGAAGATTAATAATCGAGATTGCTTAAAGCACGAACAAGAGACAGCGAGTGAAAAAAATAACTTTTTGTTCCCAAAAGTGCTGTTTATATCAAGATCCAAAGACAAAAGATATAAAATACTCATAACACAAGGCACAGGGCGACAAAAAAAGTCATCTTGTGACAACTTGACAAATTAAATATCATTTTGTTCGTCTCAGTGAGACAAATCAAATGCACTAAATTGCACTAAATGCACTAAATTTCAAAAAGTCCACACACTTTGAACTAAATGATTTTTTCTAATTTAAATGAATTTGAAATATTTTAAGTTTAAAAAATCATTACTCAATTATTATTAGGCCGATTTCCTTTAAATAAAGACCATTCTAAAGGGATGGACTTGCCCTTTAAAATGATATGCAATTTGAAATTAAATATTAACGAACTATACTTCAAACGGTGTTCAAAGTAACTAGAAGTAATCTAAGAAAAACCCTACGAGTAATTTTTTTTCTTCATCACCATCGTGTAGAGCATCTTTTTATTAGTTAGAATCCAAATTTTTAAAAGAATATACCGAGTAATTTTCAAGATATGTTTTTTTAACGTTAAGGTTTGCTAATCAAATATTGCGCCATAAAGGAGAAATGCATGTTAATCTTACCTAAATGGGATTTTTATAAAAGTATTTGTTTTAAAACTCTTCTTTTGCTTAAAAATGGTCAATTTCACCTTCTTTGTTCTAATTAGAATAAACAAAAACTGTTCTTTTTTTTACTTAAAACAAACAAAGACTACCTGTATACTAATTAAAGCAAATAATTAAGGCATTTCAAATTCATTTAAATTAGAAAAAAATCATTTACTTCAAAGTGTGTGGACTTTTTGAAATTTTTTTAGTGCATTTGACTTGTCTCACTGAGACGAACAAAATGATATACTATAATTTCTCAAGTTGTCACGACATGACTTTTTTTTTGTCGCCCTGTGTAATGTGTTCCACATATATTTTTTTCTAACACTAAAGACAACTTAATTCAAAGAAGTTTTAGAGGAAAGACAAAAATTTAGTCCCTTACAAGAAAAAATGTTTCCTTACGTTTTTCGCTTTTTTTTTTGAGAAAAAAATACTCCCTTGAGAATACATTACATAATTCAAGGAACTTTCTGTTTTGAGTTCAAAACTCATTTTCTATCCCAAAGAACACGACACGTGAGAATAAAACTCTATTCTTATTCTCTTTTTCTCTTCTTCACTAAAACTCTTTTCTCTATTCTTATTCTCTCCCAAAGACGATCACTATGTGGTCGAAACATGTGTCGCGTTAAAAATAAATGTTTGATGTTTTAGAAGAAAAAGTAGTTTTGATTTCTTCAACACCAAGACAAGTCTGTTTTGGTGTTAGAAACAATTAATTGTCACTGACGAGTCAATTATTTATTTTTATGAAAAAATATTTACATAACAGTTTACTAAAATAACGTGCATAAAACAAATGAATCTAGATATGAAAAGTTCGCGTAATAAAAGAAAATAGGTCATGAAACGTAATTCGAGCAACAGAACTGACCGAATTCACCGACATAGAAAACTAGTTGCAAAAACTAAAAACAATTGGTAGCACTGCCAATGAGTGTCAAGTTAATAGAAAGAAAGCCAACCTTGCAGAAATTGCTTAAAAAATCTCAATGTATAAAATAAATGAACCAAAAAAAATGTTTTTTAAAAGATGCAAAAAAAAACACAAAAACAGAGATAAATTCGGTACCACTAACAGTTCTTGAAAATTTATCTCAAAAAATGTGTAAGCAAAAATCAATAAAAATAAAAAATAACACAAATTTTGATGCTAATTTGATAAATAGTTATTTAATAAACTAGTTTGTTATTGAAGGCGATTAATAATCAAAAAAAATATTTTTTTGTTTTCAAAAGTGCTGTCTATTTCAAGATCTGAAAAGAGATATAATGTGTTCCACATATAGTTTTTTTTAACACTAAAGACAACTTAAGCCAAAGAAGTTTTTGAGAAAAGACAAAAATTTACTCTCTGAGAAAAAAAATGTTTCCCTTCGTTTTTCGCCTTTATCTATTTTGAGAAAAAAATATTGCCTTGAGAATACATTACATAATTCAAGGAAGTTGAAAATAGTAACTTTCTGTTTTGAGTTCAAAACTCATTTTCTATCCTAAAGAACACGACACGTGAGAATAAAGCTCTATTCTTATTCTCTTTTTCTCTTCTTCTCTAAAACTCTTTTCTCTATTCTCATTCTCTCCCAAAGACAATGTGCTCGAAACACGTGTTGCGTTAAAAATAAAAGTTTGATGTTTTAGAAGAAAACATAGTTTTGATTTCTTCAACACCAAGAAAAATCTGTTTTGGTGTTAGAAACAATTAATTGTCACTGACGAGTCAATTATTTATTTTTATAAAAAAATATTTACATAACAGTTAACTAAAATAACGTGCATAAAACAAATGAATCTAGATATGAAAAGTTCGCGTAATAAAAGAAAATAGGTTATGAAACGTAATTCGAGCAACAGAACTGACCGAATTCACCGACATAGAAAACTAGTTGCAAAAAAACTAAAAACAGTTGGTAGCACTGCGAATGAGTGTCAAGTTAATAGAAAGAAAGCCAACACTTGCACAAATTGCTCAAAAAAACTCAAGGTATAAAATAATGAACCAAAAAATGTTTTTTAACGGATGAAAAAAAAAAACACAAAACAGAGATAAATTCGGTACCACTAGCAGTTCTTGAAAATTTATCTCAAAAAATGTGGAAGCAGAAATCAATAAAATAAAAAATAACACAAATTTTGATGGTAATTTAACGGCAAAAATCAATCATTTATAATCAAAAAAGATGAATAGTTATTTAATAAACTACTCGTAATTTGTCATTGAAGGCGATCAATAACCGAAAAAAATATTTTTTTGTTTACAAAAGTGCTGATTATTTCAAGATCCGAAGACGAGAGATATAAAATACTCATAATATAGGTTTTCTAACACTAAAGACAACTTAAGCCAAAAAAGTTTTTGAGGAAAGACAAAAATTTACTCTATGAGAAGAAAAAATATTTCCCTTCGTTTTTCGCCTTTATCTATTTTGAGAAAAAAATATTCCCTTGAGAATACATTACATAATTCAAGGAAGTTGAAAATAGTAACTTTCTGTTTTGAGTTCAAAACTCGTTTTCTATCCTAAAGAACACGACACGTGAGAATAAAGCTCTATTCTTATTCTCTTTTTCTCTTCTCTAAAACTCTTTTCTCTATTCTCATTCTCTCCAAAGACAATGTGCTAGAAACACGTTTGATGTTTTAGAAGAAAAAGTAGTTTTGATTTCTTCAATACCTAGAAAAGTCTGTTTTGGTGTAAGAAAAAATTAATTATCTGACGAGTCAATTATTTATTTTTATGAAAAATTATTTACATAACAGTTTACTAAAATAACGTGCATAAAACAAATGTATCTTGATATGAAAAGTTCGCGTACTAAAAGAAAATAGGTCATGAAACGTAATTCGAGCAACAGAACTGACCGAATTCACCGACATAGAAAACTAGTTGCAAAAAAACTAAAAACAGTTGGTAGTACTGCCAATGAGCAACATTTACTCATCTTACTCTCGTCATCTAGTCAAATATTGAAATATTTCGTTCTAAATATAACCGTATAATTAATTTTTCAGCGTAATTTTAGTCAGTATCGATTTTCTCTTCCTCTGTCTAAAACAGACGAAAATGGAAACTTCTAAATCAATCGCTAACCCGTTTAGCGTTTGATCCAATTAGAAAAAAAGCATTATATTTTCTTTAGAAGCCCTAATCCAATTTTTTAGACGATAGTAAAAATGGTGGATGCGCCGGGTCTCCAATTCGATTAAACCGAAAAAACTCCTTGTATCGTTTTACGATCGCACGTCTCCGAAAAAATTTGATTATGACAGCAAAAAACACTTCGATTTAAATTCTCGACGAAAACTTTTAATTGTTTCCGTTTATCTCTGAGAAAAAGTCACAAACACGTTTCAAATTCGATATAAATGCTAAAAACTCTCACCATTCGTCTCTGGGATCGGGCAAACTCCGGTGGACGCTTATCATATCGCTGACGTATTGGTTGAAGGCGTTTTTCTGCCACCCGGAGTCGACCAACTTCTTCACGTCGGCTGCAAATAAGAGATAAGACATTTTTAAAATTATAAAAGCGACACAAATTATCCCTAATTCGGCCTCGCTCACGTCATTTTCTGTTTTGTTGTTAAACATAAGTGTTTATCTTACGTCAAGAAATGGCGGATGCGCCGGGACAAAATTATTCACAATCTTGAAACAAGATTAGAGAAAATGTAAAAACATTCGCTTCAACAATTCTTTTATTTCGTAAATTTATTTTTTCCAATGATGTTTCTCAAAAGTCAATTAAAAACACTTGCATCTTCCGAGAATCTTCGCTATCTTAATCTAATTTAATTCATTATTATTAACTCACTTCTTATCAAAGAAAAATAAACACAAATAAATTCAAAACAGAGACTGAAAAACGTGTCTTATCTTCGTTCAGTTTTTCAAAACTTTCAACAATGCTAATAAATTTTATACAGCGCTATAAGAGTATTCAAAATTATAATTGGGCAATAAACATAGTTATTTATGTATCAAGGCACTAAAAACTTAGTTTTTATTTAGTTTAGTTAGTACCAATAACACAATGAGAAATTTATTCCACAAAACCGAAAAAAAATATTTGTAGAATTAAAAAGCAATACTTATAAACATGATCACATTAAGACAATAATTTAACAATACTGTTAGTAATGTTCGCAACCAACAAAACATAAAATTGTAGTATAATATAACCACTTTACTGCCGATTTTAAACTCTTTACTGACGATTTGTTTCTGAAAAAATATTTTCTCTTATACAGGGTGAATATAAAGTATGGAACCTAGAGTTTTTTTTAATCATTTACCTCCAAAAAATAATGATTAATAAAGCGATAAGTAATTAAAAAATCATAAGTAATATAAAAAAATGTGATTGTATTTTAAAGTTTTGTTTTATTTTTGAGTTTTGGATTTTTTTTTTTTTGGAAAAATTACTAGTATGTAAACATTTTTTTAATTAAATAAATATAAAGTAAATAGTTGTAATCCTTAGATCATAACCTTCATAGAAAAATGGTTTTAGAGAGAGTGGCCACTAAAAAAATAAAAAAAATTGGAGAACTCAAAAACAAAAACAAAAATTCGAAAATGTTTATTCTAGATAAAATATCACATTTCTATAGTACTTTAGTATTCATCAATTAGTCTTTCCAAAAAATAAATAGTGTAACCAAAAGTTTTATTCAGCATAATAATGGCCAGTTGGTGATTCTTTTATCTTACTGGTAAAAAAATTAATCTACAATTTTTTTTTCAAAAGTTTTTTATAAGAACTTTTAAGTCAACACTTCACGACTCACTATCTATAAGTTTCAAGTCGGATGATCTGCAGAAAACTGCATTTTAGATACGATACTTCAATTTGCTGCTCGCGACATTACATACGCAAGTTGTTAAAAACACCAAAAAAAAAACAATAAAAAAAAAAAAGATTAAAGTCCTTCAAGTGACACTCCTGATTTTTGACTCAAGTGTCAGCAAAAACTTTGTCAAGTTTGCGTTTTATTCATTTTGAGTGAAATAATGTTCACTTTAGAGCAGAAAATTTTTATTGTTGCAAGTTATTACAAAAATGCTGTACAAGACGAAAACGATGAATGGTCATTTTCACTTTCAGTTTGTATAGAAAATTTCCAACCCAGATTTCCAGCCAATGTGTATAGTTACACTTTACACATTTCACTTTTTTTAAATAATTTTTGACATACGCAACTTGTTAAAAACACCAATGACACAAAAAAATGTATTAGTTAAACTTTAAACATTTCATTTTACTATTTTTAAGTAATTTTCGACCGTTTCTTATCGAATTTTCATCGTTTTTGCTTATTATTTAACCTTGTAAGCGGCAGGACCAGTTTAAATAAAAAGAAAATTATGACAGTTTCTAAGAATTATTCAAGTAACTTTAGAATCGCATTTTAGGTGTTAGTAATTGATATTTGTTATTAGAAAACATACTTTGATAATGTAACCATATGGTCACTTTGCCTATTTAAGAAATGTTAAAAATTTGAGGTTTATTAAAAAAAAATACAAAATATATTATTATTGGTTGGAATTCATTGTCCAATTAAAATTAAAATTGAATTTTTGTTTTGTATTTTTGGCTGTTGCAGGTATTTTGAGTTTTTCTTTTTACGTGGGTGGTGGCATAAGCGAAGATTCTTCGTCCTCCGATGAGGATTCTGTTGATTCTTCTGGATAATCTGTCTCAGATATAACTTCTCCTGTTTCACCTACTAAACAACTCTTTATTGAATCAATTTCTAAAACCAAAAGTCTAGCAAAAATAAAAATTTTGGTCGATTTCGCCTGTTTCACTTTCGGAATAATCAGATAAGTCTGAATTAGATATTTTTTCAGGAGGTAGACGAAATTTATCCCGCTTTTCAGGCATGTTTGTTTTTTTTTTCTATAAAAACACCTTGTCTTGATGAAAAAAAAGTTCATAATCTGCTTAAGAAATAAGTACTTTAGAGGCAGTGCAACCGTATGGTTACGTATAAATTTAATTGCAAAAAACATCAATCATCATCATTTCTAGATTGAACTAAACTAAGTTACTAGAACTATCATTCTATTCATAATAAATGCCCTAACATCAAAATTTTCATAAAAATTTGTTTTACTTAGCGAAAATCTAAGCTAACATAACCGAAAAAGTTCACTTGTTAGCAACGTATCCAACTAAGTCGCAACTAAGTCCAACGGTCACAATATCTTTACAGGGTTTTAAAGTGAAATCAAAAAACGTTGTATTATACCGGGTGGGGCATCCGTTACGCCCAAAAAGAAAATCCCCACTTCTAATTAAATAAAATTGTTGAATTTTTTCATACTTACCTGGGCATTATTAAGGTACATTCTCTAATTTTTTGGTAATTTTTCATTCACAAACAAAGCCAAAAAAATAAAAAGTAATTTTCTCCCAAAAAGTTTAATTCTAATTTTCATACTGACCTACGCAGATTCACTTCCTACAATTGTTTACAAAATCAGAAAAAAAAAACAATTAGATTTTGAATTAAACGCAATTTTCCATCTTAACTTTGAAAATCATTTTTATTTATGACCTGCTACTTGTGCCACCGTAAATTTAGATGACAATGGGGAACTACAATTGGGGTACGATTCCAAGGTTTACAACAAAAAGACACTTTAAAGCGGACGGCTACCAATAAATGATTCTTTTGTTGGCAAATTATACCATTTTGTCATAAATCACGGGTCTGGTTTGTGTTTAAATAAAAAAAGCGATTATTTGGCTAACCAAGTCAAAATTTGAAATTGTGATAACAAAGTTTGATGCGCTGACAGGTACAGATTCATTTAGTGTAAAAACTTTATAGGTAAATTAACAGAAAGTATTCATAAAACACACAAAACTGTTACGGACTCATTTATTATCCAAAAAAATGAGAAAAATTCTCAAATTATACCCTATCAATAATTAGTTAGGTATATGAAATATCGCCAGTTTTAATTAATTTGAAGTCGCGATATATCAAGTGCGCGTAACCGATGCCCCACCCGGTACAATTTATTTCTGAAACTCGTGCTACGCTCTCGTGAGTAAACCACTATTGTTGTATTTTTTAAAGGAGGAAAATTGTGCCCAAATAAACATTTCCCGTTTTTGGGCATTTGCTCCCGGCCCTCGGGAGGTGTCTCTACCCAGATAATGGTGTTGTGAAAATTGCGTAAAACTCGTGGGACGTCAAGGAAGATGCGATGCCGCCGCCGATACGGCCTACGTCTCCGTCGAATCTATTCCCAAGTGGCGGTTTTCTATCCAGGACCGTGCCAATCCTGTCCTTATACCCGAATAAAAAACCGAGTCGAGACCCAAAATGTGTTTACCTCCAGATCGTTACGCCACCTTGCCCTACATGAGCATTAATCGATCCAACAACAAGATTTTTTTTATTATTAAAATTCAAGCCAACTCGTGTTGAGAGAGATTTGTAGGGATTTGTTCCGAGTTGAATTCAGTGAATGCAGATTTTGTAATGCGGTGTTTTATCGTTTCAAAGTTCTGTTTTATTGTATATTCGTTAATGAGGATGGGAGTCGGAGGAATGTTTAGTGCCTAATCTCGAAATTTTTTTATTAAACCAAACGGGAATTTGCTCATTTTTTTTATGCTATATTAACTAAAACAAGAATAAAAAAACCTCATTTTAATATTACTAAAATGCAGTTCGTCATCTTCTGTTTTCAAATGTTTAAATATGTAATTTGAATCAAACACAGGATGAAGATAGCTATTACAAAAAACTTTTGTAATACTTAATTTATTTTGTTTTGCACTCGATTTTATTAAAATTTAACTAAGATTAAATACAGAGTGATTTAGCAAAAAAGTCAAAACAATTTTTTAAATTACTTCCTGTCTATTAAAAAGTTTTCAGTAAATGTTGTTTTTCTTACACTTTTTTTGGTAATTTCCTAATTATTATCTATTAGTTCACTATTAATTATAAATTTAAAAAATTCAATACAAAATAATTCAACAAAAAAAATTGCTCCAAAACGTGCCCATATTAACTGAATCATCCATCCTATATGTCAGAAATATATCTCCAGTATTATTTTTAATAATACTCATTGAGATTCGCAATCATTTATCTTAAATAATTTAAACACCTAGTTTTTTGGTTAATTTTACTTTTGAGTATAACAGACTTTGGTTAAGATTATGTACAGAATGATTCATCAAAGATGTTAAGTTCGTTTTTTAAATAACTCATAATCTTTTCAATAGGTTCAGAGCCATTAGTACATTTTTTGCAAGTCAAAGGTATCTGTACATATTGCAATTTAACTTTTAAAGAAAAATCTACAATGCTAGCCTTCTCAATTGATTCACCCTGTGCATTAGAAATATTTTTCACTAAAAATTCGTCACAATTAATCAAGATTATATTTTGCCCTCGACAACTGTAATTTATACAGGGTGCGCCAAAACTCGCGCCCCAAAGAAAAATGCCACGATACCAGAAACATGGAGAAAATGTTTAACCAATTCTACCTATAAAAATTTAGAAGTTATGAAAATTTAAATTTTCACATTGACTCTATTTATTTCTGTTGGAAAAATAATTTTCCAAGTTCTTTTGTTACAGGCAATTAGAAGAGGAAACAAGGAAGCTGTATACTAAATTGTAACTCTGTTTAATATGTTATTCGTGGCTTTTATTAGCAAAATTTTTAAAACTGTATTAAATAATTATTAAAAAAAAACATATTCAAGATCATCAGTATTAATGAAATTTTTCTCTGTGGGAAAATAATATAATTTGAAACCTTCAGAAACCCCAAAAAAATAGTGCACTCGTTTATCTATTCAGTTTATTTATTAAAAAGATAAACAAAATGTATTTATTATTCGACAAGATTCTGATCAACGCCATCTTGTGGTAAAAATAGTAATGCATATACCTGATATATCTACAGCGTGTTGACAAAGTTTTATTAAAGCACTCAGTTTCGCCTCGTGCTTTAATATTAAAACTTCACGCTGTAAAATTAGGTTATGCAAAAGCTGAATAGTCCCAAAAATTAGTCAGGATTGTTTTTTAATTGTTTTTACACGTTTTCAAAAATATCAGAAATTTTACTTAATTTTTCGAGTATTTTTTAAAATTTAACATGCAAAATTGTAAAAAATTTGGGAAACAAATGTTTTTTTTATTTACACAATGTTCAAAAATTAATTCCTTTAATTCTTTTGTAAAACTTTGATCAATCGGTCCGAGAAAATAGTTTGATGAATCGATTTAAAAATTTACAGAGCTATTGAGAGTAGATTAAGCTGTAAAAAATCTGGACACATTAGTCTCCCCATCAATATTTGTGAATACGCGATAGATTTACTAAAACAACAAAAAGAGTTTTTTTTTCTTTAAATCAATGTTAGGAGTGAATTTTTTTTCAAAAAATTGTAAAAAAAAGTTGTAGGAAATATGTTTCAGTTTTTGAAACTACATTCTGTGTGGTCATTGGTTGCTGAGAAATCGATAATCATTGACAAAAGAGAAGAACATAAAAGAACAAAAAAGAGAACTTAAAAAAAAGTAAAATAGAATAAACAAGCTATGCGCCCCATGTATTAATTTAACTAATAAAAATTTTCCCAAGTTCGTGAACCAAAAAAAAAGAATAAAAAAATTAGAAATTTTTCTCTCATGCTATTTCTTAGAGTTGCGTAATAACCGTAGCTCAGAAACTTTTTTGCCAAAAGACCTCAAGACAAGAAACTTGAAGCTTCAAAATCTATTTTTAATTTTTCATTGAGATACAGTCTCAAAAATCACCAAAAAATTGAAGAAATTTTTTTGTTCCCTTAATTTTTTGAAATAGTATACAGGGTGCGGCCAGAACTCGCGCCCCAGAGAAAAATGCCTGTTATAAAAAATCTAGAAAATTAAATAATGTTAAAAAATATTACATCAAAAATAGAAAAATGTTTGATTTATCCTGAAACGTTATTTTTCCTGAATAACTCTGTATAATAATGAAACGGCTTCATGGGGGTATAAGCAAAATAGGCTACTGACGGTGAATAAACAAGTTCGATTTGGCAATGCTGTGCAAAAATTCATCATAAGAAATAATAAAAATAAGTTTCTGAAATTTAAATTCTTTTTTCTCGTGCTATTTCTTAGGATTGCGTAATAACCGTAGCTCAGAATTTTTTTTGCCAAAAGTTCTCAAGACTAGACACTTGAAACTTCAAAATGTTTATTTTTTAATTTAGATATAACCATTTTTCATTGAGATACAGTCTTTCAAAAATTACCAAAAAATTGAAGAAATTTTTTTGTTCCCTTAATTTTTTGGAATAGTATACAGGCTGCGCCAGAACTCGCGCTCAAGAAAAAAAATCTAGAAAATAAAATAATGTTAAAAAATATGACATCAAAAACAGAAATTTTTTTGATTTAATCTGAAACGTTATTTTTTCTGAATAACTCTGTATAATAATGTAACTGCATCATGGAGGTATAAGAAAAATAGGCTACTGACGGTGAATACAAAAGTTCGATTTGGCAATGCTGTGCAAAAATTTATCATATGAAATAATAAAAATTTCTGATAAGAATGGCTGATGATTGTGTTAGCTATTGATAATTGTAGCAATCTCACCCTGTACAATTAAATCTTTTTTATTAAATAGATACACAAATCCTAGTTATTTACTTGTTTAATTAAAAAAAAAGTTAAGTCGCTAACTGTCGGGATTATAGAGGGTGTTTTACCTGAGAGGTTCGAGGGCAGAACCACAGGCTTGCCCATCTCCCCCGCATTATTCACCGGTGGTGGCAACACCGGCCTCTCATCATCCTTCTTGGGCTTGTCTGGTGGTGGCGGTTCCCTCCTGAAGGGCAAAACTCTTGGTTCCGGTTCTTGTTCATCCCCCACCGGCACCGCAATTCTATTCGAACTCCTGTCGTCGTTATACAAAAGAAAAGCTATCGTGAACCACGCCGTCCCCACAATCACGATTAGTTTCAACAAGAACGAACGTTTCCTCCACAACACGCCCATCTTCAGGCTACAAACACGAATATTTCGAGGTTAAACACACGCGCGCACACTGTTCCACGTCCTTTATCTTCTTATCTACACTTTCGAATTAGCATTATGACAAGATAACACTAGGTTTAGCTGATAATGGCTTATCACAGAAAGGTGAGACGTGGAATAGAGACATTGTGGGCTTTTTCAAAGAGGGAGAGAGTGAAAACGGCGAGTTGTGTGACGTGAAGAGGCTCCATCTGAAACGAAAATTTAACGGTTAAATGTCAAAAATGACAAAAAGTCAAAACTAAAACGCAACCCCTCCCAGCTCAACTACCCCAATTGATTTTATAATTCGTATCGTAAATTTTTAATAGTCGTTTTCGTGCGTAATCATCCGTGGATCAAAATTAAACCCATCGGTTATAAAGCTGCGATAATTCCCTCGCTTCCGGTGATCCACTCGACAATATGTCCGTTAAAACATTCACTTCCATGCTTCCAAACACGTCCGAATCATTTTCAATTTTTCCCGGATTCTTAAAGCGACATAATGGAGGCATTTATCAAACTCCGGAGTTTCTCCAGTGATAAATATTTAGAGAGACAGACGCCGGAAAAGAAATGGAGACACATTTCCAACGTTTTGTGATAATTCCAAACACAAAAACTAGGAAATTGTCCAGTAATTATACCAGGTGACCCAAGTTTTAACCGCACCCCAAAAACACCTCATCTACTCGTAATTAAATGTAGGTATGACATTTTCCAAAAAAAAGAGCAATTTTTTAATTACTTGTACTTGTAAGTTTGTTTTTTTTTCACCTCTGGTATATACAGGATGAGTCATTAATGCAATTTCGGAGAATACTGATTTTAGAATTAAACAAATGTATTTTTTACCGTTTTATATACAGGGTGTTTCACATAATTTTACGAGGCCAGCGCCTGTATGATGCAATCAATAATATATATTTCGATACGAACTCGATTACAAATTTTGAAAAATTGGATAATCTTCTCCAGTTTGTTTACCCTTTCAAAAATTACAACGTTTTTAGTTAGTTAATTATAAAGATAGATAAACTAAAATCAAATTCATGCCGTCTCTTGATGGAACAAATGATAATTGTTTCTGAAAAACTGCAGTTTATGACTATTAATGAAACAGTGATTAGTTTGACAACTACTGTCAAAATTACTGTCCAAAAATTAAATAATTAAATGTGTATTTTTTGCATCTAGTGCCTCGTAAAATTGTGTGAAACACCCTGTACAGGGTGATTTTTAAACAACGTACAATTTTTATTTATGGGCCAATTTCAAAAATTAAAAAACTAAATTAAATGGCTTTTAATAATAAAAAACGTGCTTAAAACGCTCAAATATTAATTTTAAAGCCCTAATTGGAAAGTTTTTACTCTTATTTTCAAATAAATTTTGCAGAATAATGTGTTTATAGCTTGAAAACAAGCTAAAACACTAAAAAAAAGTCAAAAACAATGCAATTTTTGAGCTTACTAAATGGTTTCTCGACTTATTCCTGATAAAATAATTAAACTTTTGAAACAAAAAACGTGCTACAACTTTCAAAAAAGCAAAAATGATAAGTTTTAAACGTAATTAAACGGTTTGTACGGCTTATTTTTGACACAATTTCACAAACTAATTATATTTCAGGATAAAAACGTGCTAAAACATAAAAAAGCAGGAGTAATATAATTATAATTATAATTAGATCTATTTGGCTAGTTTTTTGCCTTATTTTTGAAAAAAAAAATGAATAAATAACTGCTTTTTTAGCTTGAAAACGTGCTAAAACGCTAAATAAATACAAAAATAATACAATTTGAAAAATTACTGATTGGTTTTTCTAATTAAATTTATAACTTATTTTCCATAAAGAAGATTATTTAGAGCAATTTTTAAATTATTTGTACTTGTACGTTTGTTTTTTTTGCACCTCTGGTATATACAGGGTGAGACATTAATTTCGGAGAATAATAATTTTAGAATTAAATGGACAAATGCAATTTTGCCGTTTTTTATACACTAAATTAGATGATTTTCTAATTTGTTAAAGGTAATATTATTACCACTTCTTAAAATTTGTGAAAAATATTTGGCAATATTTTCATTCATTTGGTGCTTTTTGACATTACAATAAGGACATTGTCTTATATGATATATATTAACATTGACCTTTTAAACAATAATTTCTAGTAAAAGTGATATTGCACATCCCTGTACCAAGAAAACTAATACCTTCCAAATTATGAAGAAACAAATATAGTTCCAATTTAAAAATAAAAAGTTGAATATAGCTTAAAATTTACTGTCTTTTAGAAATATTCTAAAATTGTCACCTTATACTATATTAAAAGCCATTAAATTTTATTTTTAATTTCTGAAATCGGACCATAAATAAAAATTCTACAGTGCTTACCACTTTTTAAAGATCACTCTAAAATCAAACGAAATACGTAATGTTCCATTATTTCAGGTGCGCACTTATTTTTTTTTCAAATGACAACTACCACTTTTTTTACATTCTTATTTGCATTGCTAAAACCCCGAAAAAACATATTTTATTTTTAAATTTCAGTTGCGGTTATTATTTTTAAAATTTTTGTAACTTTATTATTAAAAGTAGAAGAATCAAATTTGGCACATTGGTAAAGAAGGCCTTCCTTTATCGTTTGATGTAAATTTCATTTGGTTTTGTTGTAAAGGGTGTTAACCTGTAGCCAAACTTTCAAAAAGCAGATTGATCACCCCTTGAAAAATTCTTGTAAAACCCCAATAAAGCCATTCATCAAGCTCTTAAAAGGCAAGTCCCACACAGATACATCACTTGTTTGTTATACATAAGTATCAATCGGAATCGAATAATGTCGGCTGACTTTTCCTCCGGCGTTATCTCCCCGGAGGGCAGTTTGTCAAGTCCCGGAATCACGTGTTCCGGCTATTAATCATCGTCAATTTGTCGACGGTCGGTGCTAGTTATCTCGCCGGATTGTTTTGTTATAATTTAATTTGGGGGTAGGAATCCGATTTTTTCTTCCGGGGAAAACCGGACTGGAATTATACCGATTTGCATAAAAGGAGAATTTAAAATTCAAATTTTGTATTGTGTGGGACGTCAGCGAATCGTGAAGATTTACAAAATAAGTCACTTTTTTGCATTCATGGTAGCGCAATAATTTCTTTTTATTTATTATCCATTTTGGGGGCATTTGCATAATACGCGCTCCTAATGGGCGAAATTCCAGACACTAGTTGTACCAAATGTGTCTTGGGAAAAGTTGGAATTTCAAGAAACTCAATTAATTTCAACGATACAACAAAATTGGTTATTGTTTACGTAAAATGCTTCACACATGAATGCCAACACTGCACAACATCAAATGTCAAATTACATGTTGTTCTTGTTCAGATGTTCAGGAAAATGGAAGTTTCGAGCGTGTTCATTCGAGAAAACGAATTGGACAGAATGTGGTTGTCTCAAAATTAAAAATCAAATAATTTTACAATAGAATTAAAGTGCACAGGTGTGTAGAAAGTAAATTTTCGTGTAAAAATCCCGCTTACAACACTAAAACAAAACCAATCAATTAATTTTCAATAACAACAGTTTGAAAGTTCCCTTAAGACCTGCTCCAAACTTGGCGTCATATTTAAGCAATTATGTCTTTAAAACACTCTGGAACAAGGTGGCATGTTTATTATCCCTTCTCGGGGATTTCCCGCTAATTTTCCCCTGACAGAAAAAATACCCAAGGTCTCAATAAATCACATCGATTATGTAAAACCGACCTCTGTATCTATTTATAATGCAATAAAGACAAGAAATGTGATCATCACTGCGAGAATCTCAGAATCGTGTTCACCTTCAATTTTAAATAGAAAATCTCCCAAACTAATTTTATGAAATTCCTCCAGCCCGTTGTGATAATCACAACGAAATTAAAACGATGTCAGGAACATAAATTTCTTCACCTCTTTAAAAATTAACGGATTAATTTAAAGTTAGCGCGGAAAAATAACGTGCAAGTTTCGCTCCGTTTGGATCTTTTCATTAAAAATTAACCGGAGATGTCGTCAACGTATTAAACGACGCTTACACTTTTCCGCCATGAATTTCCATCATTTTTTGCACTTCTGGCCAGCAGTTTTACCAGATCTGACTCCAACATTGAATTTTTTATGCTGCTACTCCGGTTTTATCGTGGGCAATAAACTCGACTATTCCAATTTAATATTTCTTCTCTTTTATTTAAATCCAATTAAATGCTGTGGCTAAAATTACGCTGACCGCCCAATAAAATTCTTTAAATGTACGAATATTGCTTATATTTTAACATGAAATAACAATAAATTTATTATTTACACAGATTCTGCTCTCTAATTTACAATTTTATTCCGAAACAAAACTGCACGTTATGAGATAAATCCTGAAAAAATAATGCACTTCACAGTGCAATATTTACCGAAAATAGTTTTTGTGCCAAATAAAATTTGCAAAGCGTAGTTAAAAAAAATATACCATGTTTTATACACATCTCACCTCTTTCTAATTAAACTCACATTGTTAAAAAAATAGAGGATTTTTTAATTAATGCATTTTTGGATATTTAAAAAAATAATTATTACCTATTTTTTTTTAAATCAGATTCAAAAATCAGAAATTAGTGCTAAAAATATACAACCGTATAAATTAAAAAAAACTTCACAAAAACAATAATAATGTAACTAACTGGGTGGTCATTTTTGAAGAAATTTTGCAAAATAATTGCGTTTTTGAAAACAAGCTAAAACATCCAAAAAAAAACAAAAATAACACAATTTTCAATCTTACTGAATACTCTTTCGGCTATTCCTGGTGAAATAATTTAAAAAACGTCCTAAAACGATTAAAAAGCCAAAAACAGTGAACTTAGTTTTCGACTTAAAAACACGGTTTTTCAGCTTATTTTTGACATAAATCTACAAATTATGGCGTTTTTGATTGAAAAACGTCCTGAAACTCTCACGAAAGGTGATAATAATAGTGTAATTTTAGACCTCATAATTTTTTGCCTTATTTTTTTAAAAAAATTGAAAACTGCAATTCAATGGCATTTCTGACTTGAAAACGAGTTAAAACGCTAAAAAATACCAAAGTAATTCTATTTTGACAAAATAATTTGAATAAAAAAGTACTTAAAATGCTCAAAAAAGCAATAATAATGTAATTTTAATCCAGATTTTGTAGTTT